GCAAATGTCAGATCTCTTCATCTGGGTGGGTTTATTGCTGGAAGTAAAGTCATTTTGCATTAGAGGATTATTAAATACATTATAGCCTGAAAAAACCTTGGGCTTTGCTCAGTACCACTTATTTATTTTTTGAGACAGAGTCTTGCTATGTCGCCAGGCTAGAGTTTGCAGTGGCGCAACCTTGGCTCACTGCATCCTCCGCCTCCCAGGTTCAAGTGATTCTCCTGCCTCAGCCTCCTGAGTAGCTGGGTCTACAGGCATACGCTACCACCCCCAGCTAATTTTTTGTATTTTCAGTAGAGACAGAGTTTCATCATGTTGGCCAGGATGGTCTCGATCTCTTGACCTCGTGATCTGCCCGCCTTAGCCTCCCAGAGTGCTGGGATTACAGGTGTGAGCCACCGTGCCTGGCCTCACTTATTTTCTTAAATTGTCAAAGTTAGTATTTAAAAATTTCGGATGACTGATCATTTCTTTAAAAATTTCAGATGACTGACCCAGTCACGTTAAATGTAGGTGGACACTTGTATACAACGTCTCTCACCACATTGACACGTTACCCGGATTCCATGCTTGGAGCTATGTTTGGGGGGGACTTCCCCACAGCTCGAGACCCTCAAGGAAATTACTTTATTGATCGAGATGGACCTCTTTTCCGATATGTCCTCAACTTCTTAAGAACTTCAGAGTTGACCTTACCGTTGGATTTTAAGGAATTTGATCTGCTTCGGAAAGAAGCAGATTTTTACCAGATTGAGCCCTTGATTCAGTGTCTCAATGATCCTAAGCCTTTGTATCCCATGGATACTTTTGAGGAAGTTGTGGAGCTGTCTAGTACTCGGAAGCTTTCTAAGTACTCCAACCCAGTGGCTGTCATCATAACCCAACTAACCATCACCACCAAGGTCCATTCCTTACTAGAAGGCATCTCAAATTATTTTACCAAGTGGAATAAGCACATGATGGACACCAGAGACTGCCAGGTTTCCTTTACTTTTGGACCCTGTGATTACCACCAGGAAGTTTCTCTTAGGGTCCACCTGATGGAATACATTACAAAACAAGGTTTCACGATCCGAAACACCCGGGTGCATCACATGAGTGAGCGGGCCAATGAAAACACAGTGGAGCACAACTGGACTTTCTGTAGGCTAGCCCGGAAGACAGATGACTGATCTCTGACCCTGCCACAGGTTCCTGGAAATAGACTCTCCAGGAAATGGAAGATATGGATTTTTTTTTTTTTTAACAACGGGGGGAGTTTTTTTTTTTAAATTTTAAATATTTGTATTTATTTGAAGGCAGTGAGGACCAGAAGGAAGTTTTGTGCTTTGGCAGACTCCTCCGTGTTTTCTTCCCTTCCCCCTGAGTATGCATGTGCCTGTTCAGAGTCTCCAGATACCTTTTTTATAAAAAGAAGTCTGAAAATCATTATGGTATATAATCTACCCTTAACAGAGCTTTTTTTATTACAGTGCTAAAATGATTTCTGATAAAATGGTCCCTAACTCAACTAGAAGGCTAAACATACAAGAATGAAAGAATAAGTAGAGTACTCATGATGCCTTTGAGAAAAATCAAAAGATCATGTAGGGTGACCTAGTTTCCAAACCAATAAGTAGTATTGTAATATTAAAGGAAAACTGTTCCAATCATTTAAAAGTACTTATTAAGTACTGCTTTTTACAGTTATGACAACTGTTTCTTTCTATGCATATAAAATCAAGGAACCAAATATCTGTAGCCATGGAAATGTCTGACTAGAAATATTTATATTGAATTCTGAATACAAAAGTTCCCTGTGGTAGAAATCTTACTCTTTATGCCTGGTGCAGTATAATTCTCAAGTGTACTGTCTACCAGAAAAAAAAAAAAACTAATAAAAAATGAAATATGAAAGTTAAGTTTGTATTTATTGATTATTATTACCTAAGGGGGGGAATCATATTTCTTGTCTAAAAACTGCCTATAGCATATTTGTGTTTGATTTGAGAGGACACAGTGGGACCTTAGGTTGCAGTTTATAGGAACTCTGTTGTGTCACTGAAGCAAGGATGGATGGAATTATTAATTTGACTAAAAGAGTGCATGTTTGAACAGTGAACATACAGTTTTTCACATTTTTAAAAATGGAATTTATGTTGAAGATTACAGATTTTTCTTAATTGCCCACAGTTCTATGACCATTATTTCAGTTTTGTGCTAAGCACAGGGACAAAGTGACTCTTTAGCCCTTTATGCTCATGTTTTGTGGTAACTCACAAATGTATTTTGTTATCAAAGTTAAGATTATTTCTGAAGAGAAGAAACAAACTGCAGTGAATGAAGGACCTAGAACAGCTGGAGAAATACACCTACTATTATTTATTTCACTGTAGTCTTATATTGCATAGTTCATTTGCTTCTATTTCTTGAAAGTAACTCATAGGAAGGATCATTTTAATTATAATGAGACTTCCTAGTTTGTTAGACTGCTGTATCAAAGGAAGTCATGTAATTTATTCCCAGTTTTCTTGGGGAAGAGTGGAGCTCTGAGGCCGTGTGCCCTGGGGCAGGCAGGCCACTCCTTTTCTCTTTCTCTCTTTGAGATTATTCTGAGGTTCTCTCTCTGCAAGGAAGTTGACGACACTTCCTTATGTTTTTGCCCATATCTCTGAAAATTTATTTTAAAATTTGACAAATGACCAATATCCAGAAATCTGTAATGACCCTATTTTCACCATCTTCAAACTAAGATCCTTTGATGTTATTGACAGATTGCTGTGGTTTCAGTAAATCAATACATGAGTACAAGTTTATCATTTCGGAAAATTATCTTGTATTTAAAATTGATTGATAGTTACCTTAAAAAAAAAAAAAAAAAAAGGCCCAACCAGTTATGTGTTGTTGAGCTTGCTGAGGTCAATATTGAAATAAAATGATTTGGGTTGAAAACAGGTGTGGAAATAGGAATAATACTAGTTCCCAGTTTTAATTTTAATTTTAATTTATTTATTTTTGAGATGGAGTCTCATTCTTGTTGCCCAGGCTGGAGTGCAATGGTGCCATCTTGGCTCACTGCAATTGCCTCTCAGTTTCAAGCGATTCTCCTGCTTGCAGCCTCCTGAGTAGGTGGGATTACCGGCATCTAACATCATGCCTAGCTAATTTTTGTATTTTTAGTAGAGATGGGGTTTCACCATGTTTGCCAGCCTAGTCTTAAACTCTTTTTTCTTTTTTTTTTTTCAATGCCACTAATATGCTAACGGATCTTGAACTCTTGACCTCAGGTGATCCACCTGCCCTGGCCTCCCAAAGTGCTGGGACTACAGGTGTGAGCCACCGTACCCAAGTTTTTAAAAGTTAAAAACTTATGGCCGGGCGCGGTGGCTCAAGCCTGTAATCCCAGCACTTTGGGAGGCCGAGGCGGATGGATCACGAGGTCAAGAGATTGAGACCATCCTGGTCAACACAGTGAAACCCCGTCTCTACTAAAAATACAAAACATTAGCTGGGCATGGTGGTGCGTGCCTGTAATCCCAGCTACTCAGGAGGCTGAGGCAGGAGAATTGCCTGAACCCAGGAGGCGGAGGTTGCGGTGAGCCGAGATCACGCCATTGCACTCCAGCCTGGGTAACGAGAGCGAAACTCCGTCCCAAAAAAAAAAAAAAAGTTAAAAACTTATGAGGCCTCTTCCTTGTCCTGCTTACTGGAGATGTTTGCTTTTGGCAAATTTTCTCAAATTTACTAATTATTAACAATAAAATGATTGTTTATATGAGTAAATTAGGAAAAGTAGCCAGATGAGTTTTTTTTTTTTTTTTTTCCCCATTCTGTTTGTCTAATGACATTTAGAGTGTTTTGTCTAGTTGGGTAATTGAAAATGATATGAAAAATGTAGCTTGATTATATTTGGGTAACTTGAGACAGTTATGTCTTTTAATGAAATTTTAAATCATTTTCACTGTGGAAGCGTTGATTTTTAAAAGTTGATACTTAGTTGCATTCTGTTTTTTTTTTTTTTTTTTGAGACAGAGTTTCACTCTTGTTACCCAGGCTGGAGTGCAATGGCGCGATCTCGGCTCACCGCAACCTCCGCCTCCTGGGTTCAGGCAATTCTCCTGCCTCAACTTCCTCAGTAGCTGGGATTACAGGCAAGCGCCACCATGCCCAGCTAATGTTTTGTATTTTTAGTAGAGACGGGGTTTCACCATGTTGACCAGGATGGTCTCGATCTTTTGACCTCGTGATCCACCCGCCTCGGCCTCCCACAGTGCTGGGATTACAGGCTTGAGCCACCGCGCCCGGCTAGTTGCATTCTTAGAGCTGTATTTTATTTAGATTACAGCAAGTATAATCACTTAGGAGGATTGTGTGTGTGCATGTATGTGTGTCCTTTTAAACCCAAGGATAAATGAGTGCTAAAGAACACAGTGACGACTAATGAGCCTATTGGCTTTTGCTAGATCTAAAGCAAAATCCTGGTATTTAACCAAGTAGATGCTGTAAATGGATAGTGGTGCTGTTTTTTACTGTGGGAAATTTCTTTTTCTTTTTTGAGACAGGTTCTTACCCTGTTGCTTAGGCTGGAATGCAGTGGTGTGATCACGGCTTTCTGCAACCTCAACCTCCTGGGCTCAAGCAATCAGCCTCCCAATAGCTGGCACCACAGGCATGTACCCCCATGCCTAATTTTTTATTGTTATTTTTGTAGCGATGGCATCTCTCTATGTTGCTCAGGCTGGTCTTGAACTTCTAGGCTCAAATGACCCTCCCATCATGACCTCCCAGTGTGTTGGGATTATAGGCATGACCCACTGTACCCCACTGGAAATTTCAAACACATTCAGAGGTAGAGAGACTAGTGTAATGAAGACCCATGTACCTGCCCGTTGACTAGCTTCAACAACTATTCACTTTGCCTTTTTTCTCCTATCGATTATTTCAAAGTAAATCACAGATATTAATTCACATATATCACTTCAGACTGTATCTAAAAGATAATGACTAAAACATAAATATCTAATTTTAAATTTTAATTTTGCATATATGCCATAGTACCATCATTACATAATGGTGCTGGTTGCTTCCTGAATACTGTTGGTTATTTCATAGCTTGGATCTCCAACTTTGTAATAGTGGTCTTATATATTCCTCATAGGCAGGGTTCTCCTGTTTGTGCAAAGAAACACGTTATTAAGACAGTACATTTCTGCCAGGATTAATGACTTTTTCTTTCAAATTAAGTCTTTAGCTTCTAAAAGTAACATTACATAAGATTCTTAATTTTAAAAATTATTTCTAAAACTAATTTTGTGTGAACATATGGAGAAGTATTTTTTCCAAAGGGCATCCTTCCTTTTCTCATGCAGATTTTAAATTGTGGATACAGGTGGCCAATTAAAAACACAGCTTATCACTTGCTTTTGGAATTTAATACAAATAAAAGGCTTGACTCTTTGAGGCTCTCTGAAATTGAACATTAATCACAAAGCAAGGAACCAGATAGTGGGATCACATAAGCAGTATTCTAGGTCTGACTAGGTTATCCTCATTATGCTGTAATTCAGTGTCTTGATTCTTTGTTTCTTAGTTCTAGTCTCATCTTTTATAATATTTACTTTGTGTGTGTGTGTGTGTGTGTGTGTGCCTGTCTACACTAAAACTGTAAGCTCCTTGAACACTGGGCTTATGACTTTTTTTTTTTTTTTTTGAGACTAGGGTATTGCTCTGTTGCCCAGGCTGGGGTGCAGTCGTGCAGGGATCTTGGCTCACTGCAACCTCTGCCTCCCAGGTTCAAGCAATTCTCGTGCCTCAGCCTCCCGAGTAGCTGGGATTACAGGTGTATACCATCACACCTGGCTAATTTTTGTATTTTTAATAGAGTTTGGCCATGTTGGCCAGGTTGGTCTCAAACTCCTGACCTCAAGTGAGCCACCTGCCTCAGCCTCCCAAAGTGCTGGGATTACAGGCATGAGCCACTGCGCTCAGCATAGGATTATGATTCTTGTTCTGCAGTGTATCTTCAGTATCTAGAATAGTTTCTGGCATAAACATGTACTTAGTAAATATTTGTTGAATTATTGAATGAATGAATCAGTAGATGTATTAAATGCATCTAACTCCTACTTGTACAAATTTTTACAATAGAATAATTGGGGAAAAACAAGATTTTTGTTTTGAAATTATCCCCAATGATTACTCCCTTAAACCAAGAAAGCATATCATCCTCTCCAGGGATAAAGCTCATCACTGCCCCAGACAGAAGAGAGCCTCTCATTTGATTGCAAGATGTTTATCTTAGCATAGCACTTTTCTTTTGGTAGAAAAATGTCAGTGCAATATATTCCTGTTTGTACTTTCGTGTTTACAGGGCATGTTTCAACATAGCTGCTGTTTTATTTAAAATATATGCTGGGTGTGGTGGCTCACACCTATAAGCCTAGCACTTTGAGAGGCTGAGGCAGGCGGATCATTTGAGGTCAGGAGTTTGAGATCAGCCTGGCCAACATGGTGAAACCCTGTCTCTACTAATAAAAAATACAAAAATTAGCTGGGTGTGGTGGTGCATGTCTGTAATCCCAGCTACTCAGGAGTTTGAGGCAGGAGAATTGCTTGAACCTGGGAGGCCAAGGTTGCAGTGAGCTGTGATTGTGCCACTGCACTTCAGCCTGGGTGACAGAGCGAGACTCCATCTCAAATAATAAAATGTATACATAAAATATCTGTAGTGTGCCTCTTTCTATTAGTGCAAATGAGGAAAGCATCTCTTATTGCAGCTTCAGCATTATAGCATTATATCTTAAGGGTAGGGTTAAAAAATTATCCACAGAAGATTAGAAAAATACATTTTAAAAGTACTATTTTGGTGATCTCTAAAGGAGCCGGAAAGGTAAGATCATGTGGCTAAATGTCAGCAGGCAGACTCGTGTCATTTTATCTAACTGGAAACAGTTCACTAAGATCATTTGTAACTTCACATTCCCCAATTGTCATGTGTGAAAGATCCAGTGCTATACTTGTCACCTGTTTAGGAAGGTAATATAAGCTAAGATGACAGGAGTCTGTGGCACTATGTATGCAGCAGGTTCCTTCGTCTCGCTGCATAGGTCATAAAACTGTCTTTATTTATTCCATAAACGTGGAGTGTCTACTCCGTGATAAATCCTAGCATTGGGAAGGTGAAGACGCCGTCGTCGTTCACAGTCAAGTGGAAGGAGATAGAAGTGAATGGGATGAAGTGCATCAATGTTTTTCCAAATGCGTTGACCCTCTGGGTCAGTCATTCCTCTCATTTACATAAACATGCTCTCATGTACTATCCAGATTAAAGTCTTTTAAAATACATATTAAAACCAAACTAAAATACAAGAAAGCCCCCGCCATTCTCTCTAGAGAAGCCAAAATGTTTCCTGTGCTGCCAGTAAAACAGGTTTAAGCTATATATGTCAGCATTTCTGACAGGTGTTATAGCAGGGTGGGTTTTTCTCTGGAGCACCAAAGGGCATACATTTATCTTTAGACCATGGGAGCTAGTCTGGAGTGGGAGGACTGCTGTATTTTTATGCCAAGATTTAAATGTTAGAAAGTAGATCTAATCATTAGAAAAAGAAACACACTGGAAGTAGGTTAACTACTAAAGCTGTGAATGTATACCTTCTTTAGGTAAATTGTTTCTATTTCCTTGAGTTAAAAGGATGTCTTTCTGGGGACAAGGAGTGACCAAGATGGGTTGGTTGTGTTGTAACTTGAGATAATCATGTTAAATTAAGCCATGTGGTATGACAGGCTGCAAATTGTTAAGCGCAAGTCTAACACCATGCTAAGTGTGAATGAAAGCTTGAGAGTTGCCAGTTTGATGTGGTGTTAAGACACCTTTTCTGAAATTGTACCAAAGAGGTAAGAAAGAAAGCTTCATCATCTGAATAATATATTTGCACTATAAAATTTAAAATAATCTGTTGTGTACCTATAGACTTTGTTGTGATCATCTGTGTAAAATCTGCTATTAAATAATTGGTTCCTCATATTCTAAATACAGGGTTTATTTCTTCACTCCTGTTAACATATTCATTGACATTTGCAACTTTTCCCAAAGAGGCTCATCAGCAGAGAGCTGTGAGCATACCCTGGCCCTAGAGCGTTGGGACCTTATGAGTCCCCCCTGTCTTCTCGCTGTTAATGATGTAGAGTTCTGGTGTGCTCTCCTAGGATGGCTGGGGATTTTTTTGGCATGACCCTTGTAATTGTCACTTATATGGCTTTCCTGGGCTACTGATGTCAGTGCAACGGCTTTTTTGCTCCTTGAGTCGTATTCCTTAGAGTGAAGAGGAGACGGTATCATCTCTAGCAGGCAATCAGGTCTGAGAGAGACATCCCTCAAGCTTCCTATCACTTCTGAATACCCCCTTTTATCTACACAAAACTGAAAGTTAAAAGGCTGAAAATAAGGTAGTTAAATCACCGCAGTAATTTATCTCCTTCTTTTTGTTACTTAAAAGCCAGTTTACCACTCTGTGTATGCCCTTGGGTCTGTCAAGCCATGATTTAGAGCGTCGGCCTTCCTCTTAATTCCCTTTACCAAGTTCCGAGCGGCGCATTTTGCTGATTATAGTCCAGGCTCAGAGCTCCTGTCAGGCCATACCACCACTCCGGAGTGGTTTCTTTTATGTGTTCTCTAAAAATGTTTTAAACAGACATGCTACGCCAAGTGATTTCCAACCTAATGGGAATCAATTAAAATGGGGAAACATGAAGGTGTATTCACTGCCTGTTCTCTGCTTTCTTACGTAATTTATAATTCCACCCAACTACCTGAGTATTCGTTGGTGACTTCTGAGCCCACTGGAACAGGCGTTCATAGACATTTCCGTCATAACAGCCAAGTGCTGAATTTAAACACTGATCGGTGAAGTCGAAAGCATCAGTTAACAGGATGGCATCCTTCCTGGGAGAGGAAACAAGAGTTTGTGAGTGTTTCAGATTGCTCTTATGAATCAAACTAGTCTTGGATGGTGAATAACAATATCTAATTAAAGGTTGTGTGATTATTCGATTTTCAAACAATTCAGCATTAAAAAATTTTTTTAAATCAGTTTTATATATATATCCATAGTATAATGAGTCAAAGAGTTCCTTAAGGCTTGTTTAAAAAAACAGCATATCCCTGTCTGATTTCCACTTCTTTCCCCCAGAGGCAATTTCAATCTTTTAGATGATATTTCAGTATTTATCTGAATGTCGAAATATCTTGTTTATATTGGTGCTTCTTGATGGTTCAGTTTTAGATAGTATTTGTTGATTCTTCATTCAAAAGGTAAGGATTTATATTTACCACCCTTCTCTTCACTTCTACCTCTGCCTGTTCCCATTCTTCCTCCTCCTGGCCTCCTGGCCAGCCAATATAGTTATAATTTTGGCCAGACCAATATTCATTATTGACATTATGATGACTGTGCATCATTAAAGCATTGGAGGTAACTTGGATACTGTATCCAATTTAATTCTTTCTTGATGATCCCCATCACCATTTGAGCCCTATTGCTAATTTAATGTCCCCCCCCCGCCCCCTTGTGGTCTCACTTCATTCCTTATCCAGCTGAAAATCCATGCTTTATTACTCTCTCAAAAATATATTCAACAGGTTGGGTGCGATGGCTCACACCTGTAATCCCAGCATTTTGGGAGGCCCAGGTGGATGGATCAACTGAAGTCAGGAGTTTGAGACCAGCCTGGCCAACATGGTGAAACCCTGTCTCTACTAAAAATACAAAAATTAGCTAGGTGTGGTGGCTAATTTTTCAGCTGTAGTTTCAGCTACTGGGAAGGCTGAGGTGGGAGAATCGCTTGAACTTGGGAGGCAGAGGTTGCAGTGAGCCAAGATTGTGCCACTGCATTCCAGCTTGGGCAACAGCAAGACTCCCTCTCAAAAAAAAAAAAAAAAAAATACAGACACCACACACACACACACACACACACACACACACACACAC